AAGGAAGGAAGGAAGGAAGGAAGGAAGGAAGGAAGGAAGGAAGGAAGGAAGGAAGGAAGGTTGTAGCTGCCTGGACTTTTATCTGGGTCCTCTGTTCTATCTTGTTGATCTCCCTGTCTGTTTTTGTGTCAGTGTCATGTTGTTTTTATTACTATGGCTCTGTAGTATAACTTGAAATTAGGTACAGTGATACCTCCAGCACTGTTCCTTTTGCTCAGTATTGCTTTGACTACCCAGGGTCTTTTGTGCTTCTACATAAACTTTAAAATGTTTTTTTTTCCCTATGGAAAATGGTGTTAGGTATTTTTCACAGGTATTGGGCTGAATTCGTACATTGATTTTCACAGGACACACACAGAGATACGGCTTTAAAAACACAACTTTTAAAACTGACTGAAGAAGGACTAAAAAGTATGACTGGTTCTGTAAATGTTAATGACATTTAATTAGAATCCTCCCACATAGAAAACACAAAGCTCAACTAGTTTTGTGTAAGTTCTTCTAATTCTTCAAGAAATAAATAACCGTAATGATTACTACTAATTGCCAACTGAACACTGAGGAGACCAGCCTCCGGGCACACCTGTGAGGAACTGTCTGGGATAAGGTTAGCCTCTGAGAAGTCTGTGAGGGATTATCCTGACTATGCTAATTGAAGTGGGAAGACCTGCCCATTGTGAGCAGCTCCATTCTTGGGCAAGTGATCCGAGAGCTGAGTACAAGCGTGCACGAATTAGCTCCTGGCTCTCTGCTCCTGACTGTGGATATAATGGGACTGGCTGCTGGAATCCTAAGTCAGATAAAACAGCTGTCCTTTACGGAGCTTTTGTCTCACAGCAACAGGAAAGATAACTAGGACGTAATCCAATTCTATTTCATGCTGGACAGAAACACCCCCAACGCATGCCAGACAATATTACCTAAAAAGGCAAAATTAAGAGAGTCAGCAAAGAAAGGCTGATCTGGTCTATCTCTCTTATGAAAACAATTGCAAAAATTATGAACAAATTTTAGCAGATTTCATGCATCAAAAGTGTGTGTGTGAAAGAGAGACAGAGAGAGACAGAGAGAGAGAGAGAGAGAGCATTAAATTCATGTGCATCTGAAGGCCGGGGGATGTCATTCTGATGTCATTCCTCAGGAGTCATCTACTTCATTGGCATTTTTTTTTGTTTTTTGTTTGTTTGTTTGTTTTTGTTTTTTTAAGATAGGATCCCTCCCTGAGATCTGGGGCATCTTGGTTTGGTTTCTATTGCTGTTATGAGGCCATGACCAAAAGCAACTTGAGGAGAAAGGGGTCATTTCACAGTACAGTTCATAGTCCATCATTTAGGGAACTCAACTCAAGGACAGAAACTTGGAGGGAGGAACTGAAGCAGAGGCCATGGAGGAACGCTGCTTACTGGCTTACTGACCTACAAACCATGGTTTGATCATTGGTTTCTTACACAACCCAGAACCACCTTGCCCAGGGGTGGTAACCCCTGAGTAGGCTGAACCTTCCCTTGTTAATCATTAATCAAGAAAATGTCCCCAGGGACCTACCTATAGGCAACTGATGGAGGTATTTTCTCAGTTGAGGCTCCTCTTCCCAGATAACTTTAGCTGTTGTCAAGTACACACACACACACACACACACACACACACACACACACCAGGACATGGGACTTGTTGGCTAGGCTGGGCTGGATGGCTAATAGGTACAGAAATTAATCTGTCTCCACACTCGCAAACATGTCACCATACCTAGACTTTGTGTGGATGCTCGGGATCAAACTCAAGTCTCGTGCTTCATAATAAGCACTTTCCAACTGGGGTATCCTCCATAGAGCCCCTGCCAACTGGGGTATCCTCCATAGACTCCCTGACAACTGGGGTACCCCCCATAGGCCCCAGGAGAAAAATTCAATGTGTTTACCACAAGAATGAATGCAGATGAATTAACGTAGAGAAAACTAAACAATATACCACACTAACAGACTAAAGAAATACATGTTCAATCATCTCATAAATTTTAAACTGTCCCTATAAAATGAGAGAAGGAGCTTGAAATGTCACATGTATAGCAATTAGTTTCCTGCATAAGACACAAAACACAAAACTAACGAAGAATGGGAGCGCAGGCTGACCTTTTCAGGATGTCCTTTGCCTGAGAGAGAGAGATGCGGATTCCCAATGACTTCACAGCAGCAACTACTTCTGAAGCATCTATCACTCCTTTAAAAAGTGAGAAATACCAAGTTAAGTATCTGAAAAGATGACAAAAACAAAATACGCTTAGAATGCAACTGTTTTTGATTTAGAAGCCTGAGTTTAGTGGGTCTTCACTCGCAAACCCTTAACTCGAAGTCTAAAAACTCCAAAAGGTTGGCACCAAGTTTACATTTGGTAAAAAATAGTCTCTTTAAATTGAGACAAGATAAGTTCTACTTGGTGATTTGTCTCATTAAGTGTGAACATTCATGTTTCAGGAAGAAAGCATTTATAGTCATAAATGTCATACTAGCTCATGGCGCAGACATCACACAGGCATCACACATCACAGGCACAGTACGTTACTCTAAACACCAAACCACATCTGCCCCAAAGACTACATATCATAACACATTTGACTCTCACACCTATTTGAACTGAAATAAAGGGCAGAAAAGTTGTTGCTGAAGACCTGACTCAGGGGACAAGAATAAAGAATTATTTATAAAGTAAGCTTTAAAAGATCCTTATAGAACCAAGTTCTTTCAACAGAAACATGTACTGTGCTAAATAACTCAAATACCATATGTATGTATATGTATATATGTATAATTTAGTTATATATAATATGTAATTAAGTACATAAATAAGTGTATATATGTATACATATATATGTAATTTAAATTGTCCCTCTTGTTAAACAGGCCTTATGTCCAATAAGAGAGCTGTTGGTTTTACCAAGGTATATGTATGTGTGTCATGTGTGTTTGTGTGTGTGTGTGCATGTGTGTATGTGTATACAATATGCCTACTATGCAGTTCATTTTCACATTGCTAGTAGTTGTGAAGGGAAAATTAAAAATTCCATATTCTCCTCAAACTATAAAACACAAATATAAGACATATTATTTTCCAAAGTAAAATCAGATTCTTTTACTTTTTTATATCGTTTTCTATTTTAATATTGCAATGTAATTATATCATTTCTCCCTTCCTTTTCTTCCCTCCAACCTTTCCCATATACCCTCCCTGCTTTCTCACAAATATATGGCCTCTTTTTAATTGTTATGATAAATATATATGTATGTATTTCTATAAATTTATATATGCATGTATTCTTAAATATATAAATATAGCCTGATTAGTTCACATAGTGTTACCTGTGTGTGTATGTTTTAAGGCTAACCATTTGTTCCTGGATAACCATTTGGTATGCCCTTCTCTGGGGAAGACTATTTGTCTAGCTCTCAGAATTCCTTAGTTGCCTGTTGCTCTTTGTCTAAGGTAGAAGTTTCTTGAGCTTTCCTCCTTCCACATCAGTATACATCTGCTGTCGTCCTTGCTCAGGTCTTGTTTAGGCAGCCATGTGGAGACTTCATGGGTGTAGCTTTCTGCCCCCTCTGATTCAGCAATGATCCCTGGACCTTAGGTGCAGGAGCTGTTTTGTAGATGATATCACTTGGGACTTGGCTCCACAACTCTCCATTTTGATCGGTAATGGTCTCCATCTGTTGCAAAGAGAAATTTCCTTGATAAGGAATGAAGACTACACTTCTCTGTGAGTATAAGGACAAATATTTATAATGTAGTTAGGGATCATGCTGGTTTAGTAAGCAGCAGTTGCAGGTTCTCCAAGATTCATGACTTCACTAACCCTGTGTAGTTGGCTAGGGTCCCAGTACCAGCCATGATCTCCCTTGTGTTGAGTGGGCCTTATGTCCAATAAGAGAGCTGTTGGTTACTGCCAAGGCCTGTGTGTCACTAGTGCACTCTTAGGGCTATGGTGCCACATTGGTCATTGTTGAGGTTCATAGGCATGTCCAAGTGCCACTGCATGTATGTGGAGACCAAAAAACAACTTTCAAGAATCAGTTCTCTTCTTCTACTGTGGGATCAGGGGTCAAATCCAGGTTGTCAGGTTTGTACAGCAAGCACCTTTCTCATGGGGCCATCTCACTGGCCCTGATAATTCTTGAATATATGTATTGTTCTTTGTATCAACTTTAGTGTTACCTGGTTAAAAAAAATACATCAAAATGTGTAGACACAAGTTTCTGCCCCTTCCCACCCCGGTCCCACAGCCATTCAGTCCCAAAGAAACACGCAGAGACATATATTAATTATAAACTGTTTGACCTACTAGCTCAGGTTCATTATTAACTAGCTCTTACAACTTAAATTAACCCATAATTCTTGTCTATGTTGTCTTGCCTATGCCATGTTGCTTGATACCTTTTCTTCAGTAAGGCATTCTCATCTTGCTTCATTTGTGTCTGGCTGGTAACTGCCTCTGCCTGTCCTCTTCCCAAAATTCTCATAGTCTGATGTTCCACCTATACTTCCTGCCTGGCTACTGGCCAATCATCATTTTACTAAACCAATACAAGTGACAAATTTAATAGTATACAAGAACATTCTCACACAGCAAAAAGTGCTACCACTCGTACTTTTCATTTGTATAAGAAACTATATTTGCATGAGAAACTATATACATGTGAGGTATTACTTAATCCACAAACAAAGACATTTTTCATACAGAGTCTCAATTTTTCTTCATAAGAATCAAATTTCCCAAGACCCAAACAAGGCATTTTACTGGCATACAAACCGAAGTTTCTTCAAATGATAAGCTCTAATCCTTACTTAACAAATTGCAAATGCTATGCTCATCTGTTAAATTTTTTAAATTGATAATCTGCTACGTAAACCACCATCCTCACTAGGGTTACTATTGCTATAATGAAGCACCGTGATCAAAAACCAACTCCGGAAGGAAAGGGTTGCTTCCACCCACAGTTCCCTGTAACAGTTCATCATCAAAAGCAGTGGGGCAGGAACTCAAACAGGGCAGGAACCTGGAGCCAAGAGCTGATGTGGAGGCCAGAGAGGGATGTTGCTTCCTAGCTTGTTCTCCGTGCTCAGCTGCTTCCTTATACAACCAGGACCACCAGCGCAGGGAAGGCACCACAGGCCCTCTCCCATCATTGATTAAGAAAATGCCCTACAAGCTTGCCTATAGCCTGATCTTAGGGGGACATTTTCTCAATTGAGGCATATCATTAATATTTTTGAAGTATTTTACATTAGAATCTCCAGTAGTGAAATTTTTGTAAAGTTATTACTTTGTCTAAATGTGTGGTAGCTGAAAGGTTACAAGCAGAATACAACAGAAGGGTGAATAAGAGGGAGTCAAAAATGAAGGCTTGTAGAAGATGAGCAACACACCAGCAAAAACATAAAACATCTCCATAAAAGGAGTGGTACGAGCAAAGTGTGATTATTTATTTCACAAAGATCTATTACAGACTCACACAGTATTAAAAAGTCATGATAATTCATGCCTTGGCAAGGGGTAGTGACTTAAGGAACATGAAATGAGCTTCTAAAACAATGCTAGTAATATTCTGTTTCTTAATCTGAAAGCTGTTTTCAAGTTGTATATTTACCTTATAAAAATTTATGGAGTTTACAATTATAGTTTGTAATTCATTAAAACTACAATTTATCCATTTTACTGACTATATTATACCAGTGAGCATCTCTCTTCATGTAGTCTCCCCAACTGAGTAGCTAGGCTTGTCCCCCAGATGCTCCAGATGTTCAGCAGGCAGCCCATCAAGACAACAAGCCCTGTGAACTGGTACTTACTACCTTTGTTCACCTCCCCAAAACTGAAGAAAGTTAAACAACCAGGTCACTAAGACACAGGCCTACATCGGAACAAAAATCCTGAAAGCTGCGGTTCACTGGGATGGCCAATGTAAAGTGAAAATCCTTAACTGAGTTTTGTTCTCCATCAGAAAACATGGGTACCATGATGGTTGTGTGAGATAAAATAAAAGATACAGAAAGTGCCCTGAAAAAAAAAAAAACATAGTATGTAGGAGAATATAATAAAAATTAGTTCATTTCTGTTTCCTCAATCCTCAAAAGAAAGAATACTGATGGTAAAATTCTGTTTACTTTATTTACACATTTGCAACACTGTGGCTTGATCATCTGAACCAGAGAAGGGATGCTGCGGCTCTTTGGTGAGAAAGCTCAAAAGAGCAGTTCACAGTAGAACCTGACTGCCTCAAGCTAGTGAGTCTGATAGGGGTGCAGCCCTTGGGCATCTCTGCCTCCACAGACTGGCCTAGGGCCTGAAAAGCTTCCTACAGCACTGCACAGGACCTGGCTTCACTTGCAAGCCTGCGGTTAACTGAAGACCAGAGGAGGAAAAGTCAGATGCAGTGAGTCAGGTCCAGGAATCAGACTGTGGAGAAAGCACTGGCTCCCGGATCAATGGAAAAATGCTGGAAGACAGTGTGGAAGGAACTCTTGAACATAAAGGGTCTATGAAATAAGTATTTACCGAGCTATATTAAGTGGTATCCAAAAGGTGAAGGAACCAGTCCTGGTATAAATCCCCTGAAGTACCAGCACCTAGTCAGCAGGTGGGAGAAAAAATACTTTCCTAACCCAAAGGGTCAGGGTGTTATATAATGAAATTTTGTAGAAAAGAATTATAAAACCTACAGATAAAGGGTTAGGATAATTCAGAATGTCAAGAGACCTGGGGCAGGAAGTTGGGCATAAAGAAAAGTTTCTACTACTCTTAACTAGTGAATTGGTTTTAAACAGAATGTGATGTGGCCTTGGTGTGTGATCTTCCAGCACACAAGAGAAGAATGTGCCGCTTTCTTCTTCACTGGTTTCGCTGGAATCCATGGGTTATAATGACCACCTTACTATATCTTTATCTCCAGTCTCCGACCTGTAACTTAACTTAGAACATCCCAGGATTCTCATCACTGGAAAGTACCCTCTCCAGCACCCCCCCCCCGTGCAAGTGCTTTGCAGACTGGAGAAAGTGACTGCATGTACATAGAAACTGAAAATTTTGTACCCCCAGGACTCTACGCTCCAGGTATCAGATACCTTACAAATAAACATAAAACAGAAGGAAGGGTATACCATTTTTATAAGGCTGCTGTAACAAAGCACCAGCTTACAACTCCAAAGCCAAGACGTAAGCAGCACTA